ATATATATATATATATATATATATATATATATATATATATATATATATATATATATATATATATGGATGGTCACAACATACAAATACGTCGGCTGCTGTAGCTGCATCTGAATGCTGCTGTGCACGCAGCAGCAGCTGCAGCATAAGCCCGCGTTGCAGTGTTCATTGGTGTTGTTTCTTCTTTTGTTCTGTATGCCCTTGCATCGATTTGTATGCAAAGTATTTTCTTCTTTTGCTGCTGTTGCTGTTGCTGCTGCTGCTGCTGCTGCTTGCTGCTGACTTTCTGCTGCAGTCCTGGAGGGCGGCAGCTGCACGTTTGCTCATAGCCGACAGGAGCTGAGGAGAACAGCAAATCATTACAAGACAAACATGTGTCGTTCCTGGTTATCGGGGAACTGTCTGAAGAATGATAGATGCACGCATGCACATGGAGAGGTGGAACTGCTGCTGTATAGACACCGCGCGCTGCAACTCGGACGCCGTGATTTCTTTGATGAAAGAGAAGCAGCAAGAGGAGCAAATACGCAAAGGTGGAGCAGTAGACAAACCCAAAAGGGATTCCTTACCTCTTCAGCAACAGGGGAGAGGGCTCGAGGAGGGTCGAACGCGCACAAGACACAGCAGCAGCAGCAGCAGCTGCTGCTGCAATGCAGCAGCGCAGGGGTAGAGGGGGCCCCCTTAGGGGGAGGGGCCCCACGGGGCGCGGTCCCAGGTGCACGCACGAGACAGAGCAACCGGAACAACAGCAAACGTAACCAGCAGCAGCAGCAGCAGCAGCAGGAAAAGCTGCCTGTGACATCCGCTACTACCCCCCAAGGTGCCGCTGCGGAGACAGCAATTCTATTGCAGCTTGCCGCGCAGCTGCAGGCCTTAGCTGTCTCACAGCAGAGCAGGGGCGAGGGCGCCCCTTGAAACAGCATGAATAGCGGCAGCAACAATAGCAGCAGCAGCAGCAGCAGCCGCAGTAGCAGCAGTTGTAGCAGCAGCAGCAGCAACAGTTTCTTTAGCGGGCTTTGTTCATTGGCTGTATTGTGGGGGAGAGACGGAGACAAACGCTGCAGAGACAATAATATAATACGCTGCTGCAGCTTCTGCAGCTGCTTCATCTGCTGCAGCTCTTGCGTGCCCGTTGATGTGGGGGGCTTTGCGTTTGCTGTTTTCTTCTTGCTTCATTAGATGTCCGTGTTTGTTTCGTTCTACAATTTGAATAGTGAAGGTCCGCGTCCTGTTGTTCTCGTTTGTTTCTTCAGCTGTTTGAATGCATGCGGTCTGGGGTGTATGGACAGCTCTGCTTAGCCCTGCGCCTGATATTAGAAGAGATATATATATATCAGTTATATTCTTTTGATTTATTATTTATCTTAGATTCTATCTGACTTGATCTTTATGAGCTCATTTGAGATAATCTCAGCTGAGTTCAGCTGAGGCCGGCATCAGCGTCAGCGTTTTCTCTTCGTTTTCCTGATTCATTTGTTTAGAGCCCGTTTCAGTTTGTCTTGTTGTTGGCTGTTCGTTTGGTGTTTGCTTTGATCGCTGCAGGAGAGTTAAGCCTCCGCTCCACACGCTGTGCAGGTGTAGGAGGAGATATAAATATATGCGGAGTTTTGCGCGAGCGGCAGAGGCGCATTGGTTTGTCTAATTTGGGGTGTATGTGCATACACCCCAGCCTCTGTCTTGCTTCTCGCTCTTATAGGGCTCCAGTTCTCTCTCTGTCTGGCCGCCCCCTTTATAGGTTTGCTTGCTTCCTTGCGAATAATAGAATATACAAGCAGGCGTCGTTTCGCCTTTGTCTTGTTGCCTTCGTTTGTTATCTGTTTGTTTATTTTGTTTATTATATATTTATTTCATCACGCGAAGGAGATCCTAACGAGGTATCATCCATCTAGGATTTGTTGTCATTCAGCGGGAGAAAACATTTTCTTTTATTTTTAGCCGCTGTCTTCTCCTCCTGCTGCATATCACCTCGCAGCACAAACCCTTATATCAGCGGCACCAGCAGCAGCAGCAGCAACAGCAGTGGCAACAGCAGCAACAACAGCAGTTGCAGCAGCAATAGCAGGAGCATTAGCAGCAACGCTCCGTGCATTCCATATGTTTGTTTTTCTTCTTTATTTCTCTGGAACGAAGGCTTAGCCCGATGTACATACACCATAAATAAACTCAACGCAGCAGGAAAGCTGCAACAAACTCCGCGCCCATTGGCGCAACCATTTATTTGTTTGCTATATTTATCACTGTCAGGAGGGGGGCAGAGGGTGTAGTAGGCACATGGGGTTGAGTGTATAAGGAAGCAAACAAATAAAAAAGTAGATAAACAAGTAGACGAAGAAACAAACAAATCAACAGACGGATGAACATATAGACACACAAACAAAAACGAACAGACAGGGAACAAACAAACAGCGTGAAGGCTTTCTTAACTATGGATGGAGTGTTTGTTGGCCTCGATAGTATCGGAGGCAGCACTCCTTGCGGCGCTGTTTGTATTCTGCTGCAGCTGCAGCAGCTGCAGCAGAACGCGGACGGCGCTGCGTCGCTGTACCCCGCAGGCTTATAGCTGTACACGCTAGAGACAGCGCTGCAGCTCGGGGTAGGCTGCTTAAGTCCCCTCAGCTGACTTGCACGCACTTTGCCACCAATGCAGCATGGAGGTGAAGGGGGGAGTGAGTCATTCGACACGCAGACAGCAGAAAAGGGATACTCATGTTCAATGACGGTTGTTGCTGTGAAAGAAAGGAGAAATAAAGATGAAAAATGATGCTAAGACACAAGCTCTTCACCGCATGCAAAAACAACAGCGGGCATTCACGGGAGTCCTGACCCCAAGGCCAATTTAAATTTCATTTGGTGCGAGTAACTCAATTGCGCTGACAATGATGATGCAGCCGGTTGGTGTGATGAGTCCGGTTGTATTAGTTTTATACTGGGTGTTTATACACCTCAAGGTGTTCTCTGCATGCAGTTTCACAGGGATATCCCCGAAACACTTCCTGGGGATGCTCCTGTACACCCCAAACACAGTAGACGGACAAGCGCCTCCGGCTGTCCGGGTAGTCAAAATCCTGTTCATCAGGGCTTGCAACTAATCGTACAACAGCAACAACTTTATACTTATTGTAACATGAGTTAGCGCAGAGTTAGCTCAGGAGCCTATCGACAGCTTTGGCATGCTGCGCGTAAG